ACACCGGCTCTCACCCCCTAGTTCCGCCACTGTATCATACCTTACTTAATTGGTATTATTTATGTGATTATAATTCATTGTAAATTATTTATAATCATATCTAATTTTGTACATAGTAAGATTTAACTCCATCTCCACAAATTTAAACAAATTTGTGGCCCTTTGTTGTTTAATTGGTAAGATTTATGTTATTCTAATTCATTGGTAAGATTTATCTTACCGATTAAGAGATGGAATTAGTTCTCTCTCAAAACAGGCGGTCAAAATTGTCAATGTTTTGAGAGGGAGTGTTTATATGTCTAGTTGGACCTACAGCTTTTCTAATTTATTTTAATTCTGTATATCATTTTTACTCACTTTTAATCTACTTTTTCTTTTTGAATCCCGTGTAAAGTCCATATGTTAACCTTGTCATAGATTTAGGTTTACAACTTATTTCTTATCCTTTTCATTTTTCATTATACATTACATTCTCTAAATTAAATTAAAATAATAAATTTATATTTATCTTCCGTGTCTTCCACTGGAGATTCCCTACGGGAGTTTTTTCTACTGCTTAATTAAGAAAATCATATTTTAATTTTCAAAAGTTAAAATAGTGTTATCAGTTGTAGTTTCTATTTAAGTTGCATTAATTTTAACTAAAATCGGATTTTAGTTATGAATTTAATTATCAAAAGTTAAAATAGATGACTGATTAATTGTATGCATGTTTTAAACTATTGTCCACTTTTCCGTTGCACAATAATACTTTTCTATCAAACAATTATTATAATTTTTTTAAATTATCTTTCGTTTCATGTATTATCAGATTTTATTAATAATCACTTTTAATCTATATATGAGAAATTAAGGAACACTCAAAAGTAAAAGCAAATGTAAAAACTCCTTTAATACAAATAGAGGAAGACGTATGCCGTGACGTAGAGGTAAAAAGAGATATGTTGGCTTTCCCATTTTTTCTTTGTTCAAATCTAGGTTTTCCCGGCCCTTTTGCACGTTTGACACACTTTTAATTTTTATTTATCATGAACAGATGGAAAATTACTTCTACCTCCACTTTTTATTATGAGAGTCTCATTTTGATTTTTATCCAGACACAACTTTGATTTTAATTATATTTAATACGTAGCAGTAAACATTTTACAAAGTTATCATTTGGTAAGTTCGATCACATTAATAGGAATTTTATGATATATATTTCATACATATTAATTTGGTTATATATATCCGTAAAAAATCAAGGTCAAAGTAAGGTATATGAACTATTAAAAAACGGAAGAAGTATAACCTTACTAAGATTTATGTTATTCTAATTCATTGTTAATTATTTATAATCAAACCTAGTTTTGTATTAAATTTCCTGAAATACTCATTTTGTGGACATACCAGAAAAGACCGCTTGAGAAATGAGATAATTAGACAAAAGGTGGGATTGGAGTAGCACTTATAGAAGATAAGATGCAGGAGTCTTGTTTGCGGTGGTTTGGACATGTGCGTAGAAGACTGAGTGATGCACTTGTTAGACGACTTGAGGGGTGGGGAGAAGAGACAGAGAGGAGAGGGAGGAGAAGACTCAAACAGACTTGGATAAGAGGAATCAGAACTAATATGCGTCTTCGATCTTAGGTTGGATGAGAGTATGACTTTGGAGGGCAAAGTGGATGGCGCACATCAGTGGCGGATCTAGGCATCGGGGTCAGTGTATGCACAATAGTAAAAATATACTGCAGAGAATAATAAGAAAGACTAAATAAATTTGACATAATTATTTTTTATACGGAGCATTAAACATATGTATAAAAAAGAAAACTACCAATTAGAGTGTTGCTATTTTCTCCCTAATTGCATATGATAGTATTTACAATATGATTTTAACATTCAATAAGTGTATAACGTTATATTCGTATACTACGGTATTTTATTATCAATGTGTATTCAATTAATAGCAAAAATTTAAATTATACTCGGTGGATTAAATGCTAAATAAATTGAAAAATTAGAGATTACAATATAGAGTATTAAAATAAAAGTAATATGGATTAAATCATTCATAATAGAATTTTAAAAAGAAACTTGAAATTGTAGTAGGATGAATCACACGTTGCCAAACACGTTTCAATAGTGGGTTGAGAATTTCAAATTTAGACATTCTTAAATTTAATGATATTGAACATCTCGATTGGAAGTCCACCACAGACGAGACGGTCCATTTACTTCATTATGAGTTACGGAGTACAACATAGCAAACTAGGGAGGCGTTTACTTCGCTAAAGTCACAATTAGGTTAGTAAGACAGGTGATGTAAACATGCACGCTGCTTAAAAAGCCGTTTACTAACCGAAATAGGTGCTTAAAGTGCCGCTTACTAAGCATATCACCCCCCATGTATTAATTAAGCGGCACTTTAAACTTTTTCAGTTTCTGAATTTACCCCTTGCCCTTACCCTTATTGTTACCCTCAACCCGCCCTACCCTACCACCCCGACCCTACCCTACCCACTACCTCCATCCATCCTCGTACCTTACCCCTACTCGACCATTACCCCACCCCCACCCCCACCTTGGCCCCGCCTCGATCCATACCATACCCCTACATCGGCCCCACCTGATCCCGACCCCACCCCTACCTTTAGCTTACCCAGACCCCAACCCCACCCACCCCACCCCAACCTAGGTCCCTTACCACCTTACCCCAACCCCCTACCCCCCACCACATCGGCCCTACCAGACCCCACCATATCCTATCTTACAACTACCCTACCCTACCTTGCCCCGACCCAACCCCTACCCTACCTACTCGAACCCACCCGACCCCTTACCCACCCCCAAACCCTAGGCCCTTACCACCTACCCCAACCCTACCACATCGGCCCCACAATGACCCCACCAAACCCCCTAGGGCCCCTCCCTACCCAAACCCCTTACCACATCGCCCCACCACACCTTACCCCTGGGTCAGGGTAAGGTAGGGTAGGGTAGGGTATGGGTAGGAGTATGGTAGGATAAGGTGTATGGTAGGGGGTTAGGGGGGGTAAGTGGGTAGGGTGGTAAGGACGTGGAGGTAGGGGTGGGGTCGAGGACGGGGTAGTGGTGGGGTCAAGGTAAGGTAGGGTAGGGTAGGAGTATGGTAGGTTAGGGTGGGGTCGGGGTGGGGCTGATGTGTTAGGGGGTAGGGGTAGGGTGGTAAGGGCCTAGGGGGATATAGGCGTGGGGTCGGGGGTAAGGTAGGGTGGGGGGTAAGGAGGGGTTGGGGGTATGGGTACACATAATACTTGTGTTCATGAATGTTTGTGTGTCTATATATGTATAGGGTTATTTTGGACATTTTAATGTTAAACGATGTTTTAAACCTTTTGAAGTAAACACGATCTTACAATGTTGCTTATTTTATGCGCCGCTTATTAAAGCGGGTCTTAGTAAGCACCGTTTAGTAACCCGTGAAGTAAACATGTCCTAGGAAAGGGTACAAAACTAAAGTAGAAGACCCGTATAGCCCCATCAGCTCGTTAAAAAAGAGTAAGGATATGAGTTACATAAAAAAATCATGTGTAGCACTGCCAAGTTTCGACCCTGCGACCTGTAGCCTAAGTATAACTTTTATTCAATTCTACTACCACATAGGCTAATAACACAATTTGAGATGAAGCCTATGCTTACCCTAGTCATACCGTACGTCCGCCCCTGGCGCACATTCTTGTGGACAATTGGTCTCTTCTTTTTTTCCTCTCGTTTTATTTTATCGTTTATCTTCTTTGTGTTTTTAAGTTCTTATGTTATTAACTTTTTTATGCTCTTTTATCTTTTATCTTTCTTATATTCTTATGTTGTTGTTGTCTTATATTTATTTATCTTTATCTTATTCGTTTTATCTTTTTCTTTTTTGTTTTTTTCTCTTTTTTTCCTCTTGTCTGTCTTCTCTTTTTGGCATCGATATCGAGGATCGATTCATGTTAGTCGATCCCAAAATGTTTTAGGATTAAGGCTTGGATGTTTTTGTTGTTGTGGTTGTTCCCAAAATACTCATTTTGGGGAGTACATTTCCAACCTTGTTTAAACCTTGGTGCCGAGGTTCCAACTACGTATGAATTGAACTCACAACATAGATAAAATTTGGGTTCTTTTTTTTAAAGTTAAGAAACTGATACTTGTTTTTTGAAAAAATCTTCATAGAAGTGCTTTTAGTTAAAGTATCTTTAAATTATATCTTGTCATTTTAATCAAATGTATTTTAAGGGAAGTCAAGGTAAAAGTTTGGAATTTGAAAAACAGGGCGACGGTTTAAACTCATAATTGAAGTCTAGAAATGTTTGTAAAAACTCGATATTTTGACTATGTAAAACCGTTTGCTGCTGCCGCGAAATAGCTTTCCCCCGATCACGCCTTATCTTTTGCTTTAAGTGCCGTTTGTCCAAGGCTTATTGAAAAATAGACGTCATGTGTGAGAGTTCATTAGTTCTTAATGAATTTTATTGTTTCATTATAATATATATGTATGCACACATATTTATATATATTCTGAAACAATAAAAAATTATTTCAAATAAAAATTTAATTTGAATATATTTTTCAAACTCAATTTAAAATTTTAAATGTCAATTAATTTTGCGCACATTGATTTTAGACTTCCACTACAAGAAAAAACGTTTTTTGCGTCGACAAAAAGTCGACGCAAAAGAGCAAAAATCGACGCAAATAAGTTATTTGCGTCCACATGTCGACGCAAACGGGTCGACGCAAAAAGCTCGACGCAAATAATCTTTTTGCGTCCACAATGTGTGACGCAATTAATAAAATCTTATTCGCGTCGACATGTGGACGGAAATGATCTTCCGGAAATAATTATGCACATAGTCGACGCAAAAAGGGGATTATTTATTTGCGTCCACACGTCGACGCAAATAATGCTATTATTTGCGTCCACAAGCCGACGCTAAAGACAATCCGTCATTTTTAAAAATCTATTATTTGCGTCGACATGTTGACGCAAATAGCACAATACAGGTCTGAAATAACATCACATTATCTATTGTTATTCATACAAAAACTTTTATTAATAACAAATGTTGCCAAAATCTGTTAAAACGCCATTAATGTCAACAACACAAATTCATTCAATGTCATAGTAAAAGTGTACAACGAAGTTTCATTAATCCATTACAAACATCACAAAATGTAAACATAAATAAACCCATGTTCATCTTAACCAAGTAAAAAGCATATTCAACTCGATATTATCAATCTTGATCATCTTCATTGAAACTCTGATAAGGCTGGTTAGCACTTGATGTCGAATGAACTTCATTTGCGGAGCTCCGTGAAGGAAGTTGAAAGCCAGGAATAAATTGTTGTAGGGCACGGAGCATCAACTCCTGATTTGCTTGCATCAACTCCTGATTTGCTTTCAATTCACTTATTTGAACATCACGATGGTCTTGGAACGTTGAAGTAACACTATCTTCCATTCGTCGAGATGCACCCTTTGATAGGGTAGGACCCACTCCGCTTTGGCGTCCACGATGTCTTTTCAAGTTCCGATTCATAATATCAATCTCATTTATTGAAGATGATGACCCTGCTTGTCCTAGCTGTGTCTGGTACTCCTCGCTCATTTGTGTCTATCAAATTACAAATCATACAATTACATATAGTTATGATTACAATTAACAAAATCTTTTTAATATACTTACATATTTTTCATGTGCTTCTTTAGTTCTCCATTCGCCACTACGAGTCAAACGTTGATCTTTCCAATTTTCAAGAGCTGAGTACGACTCACCAGTTTCTGGATCATCCTGTTTAATATTCATTATAATTGTCAATATCTAAAATTACATGAATGGTCAATAACTAACATCAATATTAAATTAGTAACTTTAAATTTTAACATTTGATCGATCAGTAATCACAACCACAACACTAAGGATTCTACTAAATATAATCTTTAAAAAACCTGCAAAACTAAAGCAGAAATAGACGATTAAGCGATATACATAGTGCTTATTAAAATATATATGAGAGGTAAACTATATATACTAAGGCCTTAGGGACACCCCCGAAACAAAATTGTATCACAAAAAAACACAATGAAACACACAAAAAATCTGCACCATACCTAAAAAACTGCACCCAATTAAACTACAATATAACATAAAAACTACCAAGGAAACTACAACATACATTCATATGTCATCAAACACCAATAACAAATATATGTAATCACCCAATCACTGCCACATATCACAACTTAAAATGAAATAACAAAGATTCATCTCTTACTTTTTCGTGCATGTATTGGGCATATGATTTTCTCCCATGCCCACTTTTATCATCACTTGCTTCTCTATTTTTGAGGTTTTTCAATGAAATTTCCTGTAATTATGAAACTAAGTTAGAAATTAGAACTTTAATTGTATAATGGAAAAAACTCATATTAACCTTGAACTTCGTAGAATTGAATCTCTCACAACACTTCTGCCATTGATCATCACTTCGTACACGTATAGGTCGTTTAGCTTGCACTCCTCCATTGTTCTTGAAATACACAGATAAATCACTTTTCCAATCGTTATAGCACTCTCGAGCATCTCGAATCAATACTTCATCAAAAAGCTTGTCATTATCGCACTCAAACCAGTCCTACGATATATGAAACATGATCACTATTAGAAATAAATAAATTTAAATCAAATAAACCCAACAAGAAAAGAAGACAAGTTTTTATAATTACCAACATTCTATGTCGAATCATAGCTTTTTGACAGGCCGGAACATCGTCCCACTTATCGTAGAACGGATCACAACAGTCCCGGGTGTGTATCCCTATTGCGCTTGACCACCAAGAAGCTTTTGGCCCTATTGCCTTCCATGTTTTCCTTGCCGAATCAAATTGAACTTTGATCTTTCCATCTTTAGCTACGGCTAACATAATGTTGTTTCCCTTGGCTGAGCCTCTTCCTTTTCGTTTTGTTTTCTGTGTTTCTGAAGCTATAAAATTCATTAAACAACATATAAGTTAGTATTGATCATGAATAAGTAATATTTTGAAAAGTGTTAACAATTTTAATTGCATTACATCATACCTGACTCACACGAAGAGGGCACTCTATGGGGATCTCGTGGAGGTTGGGATCCTCCACTTGAACCCGCACATGTAGCTACTGTTCCTGCCATAAAGTACACCTATATATGTGCATACATATGTGAAACTTAATTTAAATGTAAATCAAACATCACTGGAAACCAATAACCATCAAAATATATGTAAAAACATTAAGTCATTTAGTCACGTGCAAAATACATCTAAACAAATAAAGTGCATCCAAGCATAATTAACAATAAAAAGGCCTCGTATTTAATCATCGTCACTGCTAATATATTTGAGGCTCTCATCATCATCATCATCATCATCATATATTTGAGGCTCTCATCATCGTATTCATTACCACTACCACAGCTTAAAAACTCACTTTCACCATCTTCATCATACTCGTCTTCTTCGTTGATAGTAAAACCATCTTGAAGATTCTCATATAGAGTTATCACATCAGATGAAGCGACATTTGGTGAAACATTTGTGTCATTCCATAACATAGAGTCTAAGTTTGGTACTTCAACATCCAATTCAATACCCGAAGACTCAACATCTTGGACAATACACATATTATCTTCTTGATCTGGGGGAAGGTCCCAAATGTGCCTATGCCCAAAATGTTCAACAACTCTCCATTGTGGGCCATTGTAAAGGTCCTCAACATAAAACACTTGCTCTGCTTGAGATGCAAGAATAAAAGGCTCGTTTTCATACCAAAAATCCTTGATGCATATGCTCATCTTATTCTTGTATTCTTTGGTTCCCCTTCTTTTCCCTCGTCGGTCTAAGCTTGTGTTGTACCACTTACATTTGAAGAGAACAACAGAATTGTTACCTCCGTAACTCAATTCATAAATGTCCTCTAATTGTCCATAAAACACTTCATCATCAGACCCCTTCACAGAAATCCCACTATTTTGAGTTGATCGGTTCATATCCCGATGGTGAGTCAAAAACTTAACTCCATTAACTATACATCCAGGATAACTTTTGAACGTCGGGCTAGAACGAAAAGCAAGAGAAACCAATTGTTTGTTCACTTCCGGCGTTGAACACTCTTGGAGGGAAAAGATCTAAATAGATAAACATTTATTAGTTATAAATGAAATTGCACCAAGAAAAATAATATGACCGAAATTATGGATATACCTTCCTTTGAAACCATTCTGGAAACTCCTTAAGTTGAATTTCATCCAAAGAACAGATGGTGTTCCGCAAACTAATCACCTCTTTATGCTCACTGTTCATCATGTAATTATAATGTCAATAAAGAAACATCATATATTGGGTACGCAAGTATAAATACTTTTAATCACTTACTCAATATACTGCTGGACTTCCGGGCAATTCTGCAAAATGTACCACTCTGCTTTATTTCGCATAGCATAGTCCAGAGTAATTAGAGACATTTTTCCGATAGGACGGGTTCGAGATTGAAAGATAGATAAACTTCCTGCAATGCTAACATCACTTTCAACCCAATTCCTCTCTAATCTGTTGAATCTTGTCTCAATGTCACTCAAATACATTGAGCAAAACGACAATGCTTCATTTGCAATGTAAGCTTCAGCAATGGACCCTTCTGGACGTGCACGGTTTCTAACATACTTTTTCAATGAGCCAAGAAACCGTTCAATTGCATACATCCACCTTAAATGAACTGGCCCTCCTCGAATTGCTTCCTCTGGTAAGTGCATGGTGACATGAACCATGATATCAAAGAAAGCCGGAGGAAAGATCGTCTCCAGTTTGCACAATATAACAACAATGTCTTTCTGAGCTTGTTTCAGATCACTTACTCTCACTTTCCTTGAACATATCAACTTAAAGAAATTGCATAGCTCGGTGATCGCATCAACTATCTCTTTCTTAAGGAATGGTCGAATGCCGGTAGGCAACAATCGTTGCATAATAACATGACAGTCATGTGACTTAAGACCTGAAATCTTGCTAGTTCCTCCTATCACATTCTTCCCCAAATTGGAAGCAAAACCGTCGGGAAATCGTACATGTTTTAAGAATTCACAAAACTTTGTGCAATCGGCAGGACTCAACGTGTACGCTGCATGTGGTTTCATTAACTGCTCACCATCTTTATACAAATGTAACTCTTCTCGAACTCCCCAATGGGCCAAATCGGTGTCCTTACTTTTTCGGTCAATGCTCAAGATCGTACCAAGTAAGCTTTCGCATACATTTTTCTCTATATGCATCACATCTAAATTGTGACGCAATGACAAAGAAGACCAATAAGGCAATTCCCAAAAAACACTTTTCTTGGTCCAGTTTAACTCCCGTGGTTTTCGTTTGCGTTTGAGCTTCTTCCCACCAAAATCTGGATGCTTACCAGGAACACGAGGGCACACATTTTGTAACTGATCTAATATCTCTCGCGTGGACTTCTGTTTTGGAGGAGTGCTTTTATCAACCTGGCCATTAAACTTTTTGTTCTTCCTCAATATGTGGTCAGTCGGTAGCCATGATCGATGCCCAACATAACATGTTTTACTTGTGATACGCATGGAAGGGGTATCAACATTGCATGAAGAACAAGCATAATAGCCTTGACCACTCCAACCGGAAAGACTATTGCGAGCAGGAAAGTCACTAATAGTCATGAGTAAAGCAGCCCGCATTTGAAATCGCGTGTTTGTAGCTCCATCATGTACAACCATTCCTTCTGACCACAACTCCTTTAATTCATCAATGAGAGGTCTCAAGAACACATCAATATCCTTTCCAGGAGAAGATGGTCCTGGAATTAATAAAGTTAAAAGCTTATAAGGATCTTTAGTACACAACCATGGAGGTAGATTGTATACAACCACAACAACTGGCCACATACTATAAGATAAACTCATGTTTCCAAATGGATTGAATCCATCTGCAGATAACCCCAATCGAACATTTCGTGGTTCATTAGCAAAGTCGGGGTAGTTCTCATCAAACTCTTTCCATTCTTTGCCATCAACTGGATGTTGCATCATGTCTGGATCAGTTGATTTACCCCTTTGATGCCATGTCATTTCTTTGGAGGTGTGCCGTGAAACAAATAATCGTCTCAATCTATCCTTCAATGGAAAATAGCGGAGAACTTTCCAAGGAACTTTTTTCCCCCTTTCATTTTTCCACCGACTCGTGTTGCAAATTGGGCATGTTTGCAAATCAGCATTACTCTTCCAGAACAATGCACAATCATACTTACACACATGAATCTTTTCGTAGCCAAGTCCCAATTTGCTCAACTTTTTCTTTGACTCGTAATGAGAAGTTGGTAACTTATTACCATCAGGGAGTACATCTTTTAGCAACTTTAGCACTGAATCCATGCACTCATTTGGCCACTTATAGAGTACTTTCAAGTGCATAAGTTTTACTAAAAAATTTAGCGAAGAAACCTTAGTGCACCCTGGATACAACTCTGCATGAAGCTCAGATAATAGATCCTCAAATTGAGTAGGCATTTCATCACCCATATTATATGTGGTATCACCTCTTATGCCATGGTCTCGAGTTTCTCCTGCAATGTCATTCAGTACTGCAGCCATTTCATCCTCTGCCTCATCTTCTACATTTGAATTCAGAAATGGTGGTATCTCAGGTGGCTCACCATGAAAAACCCAATGTGAATATGTCACATCAAACCCAGATTCAAAGATATGTCGCTTAACGTCTTTCAATGGAAGCATTTTTCCATTCAAACATCGTTTACAAGGACAACTTATATTTCCTTCTTCATTCACAAAGTCTTTTGCATAGTCTATAAAACCTTGTAAACCATTCCAATACTCATTCGATAATCGATTCTTTATATGTATCCAACTCTTATCTATCGGCATCCTCACCTAAAAGAGAACAACTTCAACACTCTATCAATATATTTATCAAATAAGGATTAGTGAATGAGTTAAGTTTATAAAAGGAAATGAAAACACTTGTTAAATGTCAATGATTTATAGTTATTTAAAAGTTAGAATTCATGTCATACGTATTTTATTCATAAGTGGTTTTTGCAGATTTCTTTGCAAAACAATTAAGACTTTAAGTTCCAAAGTCTCTACCATTAACCCATGTGGGGCTTAATTGAAACAAGCAAACAAAGTCTGGGAATACAAAAAGTAGAGAGAAAACTACTTTGACTAGTGTGTGACTAAATTGGAAGGTATAGCTACTGCCAGTACCAAACCAAACACGGTGTTCTTCATAAGTTCAAAAAGTTAACCTATTCATTTTTTTCTTTTTTCTTTTTGTGAAGAAAAGTGGGAAAATGAAAACATGGGAGGTTGGGTCTAAAGTCCTCATAAAATAGTAACCAGACTTCTTCTTTTTTTCATAATAAACCTCACAAAATTAGCACAACCAATGTCAACTACAGAGTATATTTTAATTCTTCAGAAAAGTCAGCAAAGAAACTTTCAAAACCTGAAAAAAGAAGATCAAACACAACTCTTCAAGACCATGCTCTGTGGAAGAAGCCTCAAGATTGTTCAATTTCAGCACACGCAGGACAGTCTATCTCCCTTTGTATCTTACGAACCTGCTAAGAAGAGTTGTGTTGACAATAATCACAAGTGAATCACGTGTGACAATATGTGTATGTATACATATACATATATATACTCTGTAAGTAGTTATTCATTTTCAACTTACTTTTTTCATTTGAAATTATCTAATACTTGACAGTAGGTGCAACTTATGTTTTAAAAAAATCCATTATCTATTTAAAATGAGTGTAGAGTGCATGTTGTTTACTGCCTGGTGTTTTTGACTTTGAATGAGTTTTATATTTGAGATGTAAAAACAGACAAAACAGAAAATTATAACAATATAAGCTTCCGTATTTTAGTTTGCTGAGATAAACAGAAAACTGAAGTTGAAATCTGAAAAACCAACCTGAAGACAGCGAGTGCAAAGAAATAGCAGGACCAACTGCTGCCCAAACAAAAAGCAACTTGAAAGTTTTTTCAACCTTTCCATTAATTTGGCAAAGAAGCTAAAGAGGGAGCAGACAATTCAAGTATGTACTTTCACCATCTCATTAATTTATGAACAGTAACCCCAAGTTAACCTATTCATTTATGTCTTTCTTTTTGTGATGAAAAGTGGGAAAATAAAAACATGATAGGTTGGGTCCTAAGTCTTATGAAATGAGTGATGAATGGCTATGGCATTTAATTGGATGTACCAAATATTTATCCATTTAGGCACTTTACACCATAAACAAGTAAAAACATGATGATTAAATCTGAAAATATAAACAGAGTGAGATAACGGGGTTTGATTCTTTGTTATGCGTAAACAGAGAGTGAGATTACAACCGGAGATTTTTCTTAGCATCCTCAATCACTAATTATTGGCAAAGAAAGATAAACCAAATCACCACTCTCGCACCTAAAGAAACGGACATTCATTCTCAACCATGAACATATATTTTTATTGAATATGAGATTTCTAGATATGTGAAGCCAAACCCATAACACAAACACATGTGGAGTTTGATAAAAACTTCATCAAGTGGAGTACTCTTTGCGTTTCATCTCTAACTAAAAGTATCCGCCGATTCTGCGCACTTAAATCTCCATCTACACACACATCACTGTTTCTCGGCAGAGTAGAAATCAGATTCATTTTTATTAATTAATTAGGTCAAAATTGGGTTTGTGCCGCAGGGCTAGGGTTCATAAACATAACGTGTTCGGAAGATTAAATTGAACTCTCTGGCTCATAATCGATTAAGTTGGGGAAGATTTTGAGGAAGAATCATACCTTTCATGAGAAGAGATCTGGTTTGAGAGGCATAACTCGTTTACGCTGGGAAGAAGATCTGGTTTTAGAGGAGTAAGTCGTTCAGACTGATAGAAAGTAATGCCTACGCTGCAGAAGGTAGCATATAATTAGATTTCTACTTTTGTTTGGAGATAAAATTAGACTTATACTATTAGCATCCACAGGTGGACGCTAAAACATGCATGATTTATTTAACTTTTTTTAATTTAGTTTTTCGCTACGACTTTGTCGACGGGAATAAGCAGAACGTGAGACACCCACCCGTCAAAATAATACCTGTCTTTGGCGTCCACTAGTCAACGCAAAAAACATATTATTTGTGTCCACAACTGTCGACGCAAAAAATGTGGACGCAACTGATAGTTTTTCTTGTAGTGTTCAAACCAAAAATGCTTAGAAATAGTAATTGAATATTTCAAACAATATTTATTTATTAAATTCAAACAATAGCATTATTAATTGAAATTGAAAAAACAGCATTATTATGTGAAATTAAATAAATATATTATTTAAATATAAAAAAAATAATTGAAATAAAACAATAATATTAGTTCAATTTAAACTGAAAACATCATAACTATTTACGTTAGAACCTAAGATATTTAATAGTGAATATAAATAGTATATAAATGACTCGAGATCGGATATTACTTCTAGTCACATATAAATACGTTTTTCTAAAAATCTAATATCTGTCCATTTTAGAGTACCCGAAGTTACATGATAGAACATATAGAGTATAAGATAAAATGAAAGGGTGCGTGATGAATTTTAGCCATTAAACAAGTGATTTGTATATAATATAATAAATATTTTATCATTATCGCTCAAGATAATATCATAATAGTAATCAAATAAAGCAAAATAATGACAAGCATGACAAAACGAAAAGTTCTGTGTGCATCCTCATCTCAACATTGTTCCTCCTTTTATGAAGCAAAAGGCAAAATTTCTAAATGGTTGAGTCCACCCTACACATTGAAACAACACGCTACATGCCATCAATTATGTTTTTTCTAAAGAAAATTGACTTATAATATCAGAATCCAAACAAGTAAAATAAAGACCAAAAATTAGAGACAAGCTAAGCCAGCATGACGAGAAAATATAGTTCGATCATACTAGACTTTGAGTTGGCCACACACTCGGGAGCAATATGACTCGCTAATTCCCACACGAGTATTTGTAAATCAATCATGATCGATTTAGTATCCTTGTCATTTATCCTATTGTGAACTTCACCCTTAACAAATACAAAAATAAAAACTCAGTCAATCTGGACAAACACAACTCACTAAAAACAAATAGCTAGCATCCTTATGTGAAAAATAGACAGCAAAAATAGAGAAAGTAAACAAATAAATTTTCAGAGAGGACCTAGGCGAGCTATAATCCGGGTCCCACCTCCTTCACATTTTTAGCTTATCCACAATCATAGCCCCATCAACTTAATTTTACTGTTCCGGGCCCCACCTCCCTCACTCGGCTAGCAACTATCCCCTCACTCATACGTTTCGACGACTCCCATTGCAGAAGTACCTTGAATCACATTCCCGAACTCCACCAACCATATCTTCTGCGTGTATTCCTACTATTGCCACACCATTTGGCTTCCCTCGCGTCAGCCAGCTTGTGCACTGTCTTTGACTAACCATCTAATCTTCCCACCACATCGATCACTCTACCTTTGTCACCCCTTGGACGAAGTCACAAACCAAATGGCTTGACTAGCTAACTCACCATCTCCCTTGTTATACTTTTGAGTGTAAAATCTATCTACATGACCAATTCATCATGCCAGTTGAGGGGTAACTGGCGCTAGTTTGAAATCAATTTCCAAGTATGTTGAACTGGCACCGATTGCGGTTCGGCATTTTTGACGTCACGATTTATACAAGTGACTATTGCCGGTTAGGTGCAATTTCGGTGCCGGTTTCTTCCAAGGATATTGGGAAGGTTCCTTTATGAATTTAGGCATGACTGCTTCAGTAAAAATGTAGACAATGAAGTCTTATAACCACCAAAATTTGAATTACGGGTTTTGAATCATGCAATCAAAAGATATGGATAAAACATTGAGAGGTCTGCATCTTGAAATCCCACCATCCACATCTGACTTTATTGGTTGGTTAGGTGTTGATCGTTTCATATTTTAGCCATGACGTCTTATCAGCATTTCTAGCTTATTAAGATATCATTCACATGAACTTCGAATAGAGTCATTTGGAACTCTCTACAATAAGTTATACTCGAATTATGGGGATAATGTCATCCTCTTGGTCTAAAAAGCCGTTCATCGCATTGTTTTATGCTCTAGCTCCCATTCTGAAGGTATTTGCCCAATTTCTCTTCTTTTCTTCAACAAAGACATATAAATACTTATTTTAAACACAAGTAAATTGATGATTACATATTTCAACACTCATTTTATGTGTTTTGGGATTGGTTTTGTTCACTGTCCCTAGCTAAAATGAGTCACAAAGTGTCAATTTAACTCAAGTTATGGTTTATCGGGTTTATTTGTGCTTTGGTATGTTTAGTATGGAAATAAGGAATTGAACTTGGCACCGGATTAAGGGACCTTATTGGATGATGCGAGATACTTTGAATGTCAATTATGGAGAAAAAAGGGTCCACCTTACTTGAGAATACCATTTGTGAGGAAGAAAAATGAAGAAATTGACATTGGTCGCGCATACGGTTGTACACACTGTGTGCAGAGCCGTGTGCACTCTGGAGGTTTCCGTTATGTGCACACGGCCATCCACACTCCACGTGTCCAGCCGTGTGCACATTTAAAGTTACTGTTCACCCGCACGCAGATGGCTTGGTCACGCACACAACTATTCACATGGCCGTGTGAATGACCGTGTGCGACTAAAAACGCCCAAAATGTGTATTTATCGTATTTTAACAAGCTTTAAACCCTTATTTGGGGGGGGTTGACATTCATGTAATTTCCATGTTTATGTTTGTGTTTTTAATTAGTTTAGATTGATTATTACTTTGGAAATTACACACTTTTGGTGTAATAGTTTAGTCTGTAAAATATTTGTAATTTGTTTAGATTAGGTTCATTCTGAGCTCACACAGGTCCAAGAACACTTTAGGGACCAATGGTGAACATCACAAGTGGAAAGAAGGTGCAAAAACTCCAAGAAAAAATGACGATCCTGATTTTTGGTCTCGTACCCGGTCAAGTATGACCTATACCCGATCGGGTAAGTTGCTGAAAAATCAAATCGGATAAATCTGCGAACAAGGCAACGTGCAGGGAAGATTTTAACCACGATCGAGTGTCTATACCCGATCGGGTAGCCGACATACCCGATCGGGTATTCCATGTTTTTCCAGCTTCCGCGAAGCAACTGAAGGCCCGGTCGAGTACCCTATATACCCGATCGGGTACACGACCCTGCAGGCCTAAAAAGCCTATAAATACACCTCATTTCCTCCACAATAAATCACCAATTCACATATACTCTTTAGCTCAGTTTAGATTAGTGTTTTCTTTATATTTTCTATCATGTTTAGTCTCCAAATGAGGAGCTAAACTCTTCCATCTTGGTTTTGCTACTTTGAAGCTTAATGATTTGTAAGTTGTGAGTTATTTTCTTTAATCTTCTTCCTTGAATATTAATTACTTCCTATTCATATTCCATATTAATATTTTGAGCATTACTTAAAGGATCAATTAGTTTTATTTCATATATTAATTATTACTAGAATAAATCGGTTAATACGCTTGTTATTAATTCGGTTCTTTCAATGGTAGTAAACTTGGATTATTAATGCATGCATCTCATGGTCAATAATCTAAGGGGAATGATGTGAGTTTTCTCGCACTTAAAAAAAATTGTAATATAGGGGTGTAAGTACGAGTATCGTCTCCACAGGGACGGACAAAAGGGAATTAAAGATTAACTAAATTCAGCGATTAAAAATGAAATAAATAAAATAAATGCGTCGTGCGAGATTGGTTGATTTGAAAATTAAACTAATGCGGTTGAGCGAATAAAAAATAAATGTGGTTTCTAATTAATTAATGACGAAGGGAATAGGGATTGATTCCGGGGTAACCAGATTTCTGGCAGATCAGGCCTAATTACATGAAATTGATTTAATTGAGCCTAGCTAATCATTACTAAATTCTTACCGCTCTCGCGGCGTAGAGTACAATAATTTAGGGGACCAGGCTGATCTCTCATGCGACAGGATCCTAAATTATTGCCAAGACGAGCGAGCTTACGGCTCCTTAATCGCTACTAATCTCTTAGCGAACGATTAAGTGTGTGTGAATGTATCCTAGAATAAACTAGATCTCTCTTAATTTATTCTATAAGCAATTGTAATTCTAGCCGCGGTTCCAGGTTACAAAAGATATCAGTTAAATTATTCAAACACAAATTAAATGGCATTCATGCAATTAAACCGACAAGAATCTAGCCATCAATCATGATTAACCCCTTCATCAATCCCAAATCCCTAATTAAAACTACTCACAATTCATAATTGAAGAATCAATAGAATTGGAATAAAAAGAATTAATTGTCATTAATTAAAAAGGTGGAACTTACAAAGAATCCCAAAAGATTGATGAACAAGGCTGAAAAGCCCTCTAAAATTCGTGCTAGGCACTCTCTCTCAGCTCCCCCCTCGAAAACGGGGTTTACCGGCTGTTTAAATAGGAAAAACGGAACAAATTCGGGCGAACTTAGGATTCCAGGGGCAACGCACGGGGCCAACGCACGGCGTGCGTCCCCCAGTGCGTCCGGAGCATAGCCGCGTAAAAATATGGAACGCACCGCGTGCGTCCCCCAACGCACGGCCGTGCGTTGCTGGTAGTGCTGTTATTCGAGCCGAGCCGAGCCCGAGTATCACAAATTCGAGCTCGGCTCGTTCATTTTTCGAGCCTGGCTCGAGCTCGGCTCGTTAACATTCGATTCTATATTTGAGCTCGAACTCGGCTCGTTAAGGCGTATTAACAGCTCGAGCTCGACTCGTTAATATACTCGAGTCAAGCTACTCGAGCTCGAGCTCGACAACTCGAACTCTAATGCTATAAAATGACAATTTTGCCCACCTCACGAGCCCTATCACGAGCTTCACCGAGTTTTTCGAGTCGAGCCAGCTCGGCTCGTTAACGTTATCGAGTAAACAAGTGAGT